CTCCAGGTAGGTTCTGGGTTAGTATAATTTCCTTAGGTGGAAATGATCTTATCAAGTACTTATATTCACTATGGCATGGCAGCAGAGGATTTCTTTTTTTTCCTTTACTCTGTCCACCTTTATGAATTGAGCCAAGGCTGTGAAAAGTCATGTAAATTATACTGAAGACAAAGGTGGTAAATTTAATTTGTCTTTAGCTGTTTTTTGTATCCCATTTTGAAGAGTTTCAGAGAAGAATATAGTTCTGAAAAAAACTTTCATCTTGAACAGCACAATGCTAAGTCATTTTATAAACTTCCTTGCAGTCTTCTACATCAAATTTTAGTTTAGATAAGTAAATGTTATTTCTTCCTCACTATGAGGAAGGTGTACAGGTTAGAGGAGATTGATCTTGATCTGTTTCTCCTGTAGATGGTTTGTCTGCTAGGCCAAATACAAAGTTCAGCAGCCAGAAGCTTGCGGACCAGCACAGCTTCACTGTGGTACAAACTGTTCTATTTATGAATTGACTTATCTTCTTGTTGTAGTATGCAAATTGGTATGCAAAATTGTACAAACACCCACAAAAATGTTTCCTGATAGCTGTTTGGATATGTATATGGCTTCCAGCATACGTAGCATTGATGGGATTATTTTGCCTTCTGCAATTAAGAATTCTTTGCATAGTGTTCCCCTTGTGATTCTCAGATGGACTGTCACATACTTTGTTGTAAGCAGCACAAATCTGATTTTGTTTTGAGTGTGTCAGTCTTTCTGACAGTGACTGGCTTTAGCAGATGGGGACACAGATTGTAAACAAAGTGTGAGGGAGCATTCTTTTATGTATAATATGTCAAAAAGTTATTTACATCTGCAGACTGCCTTCTGCACAGGCAAACTAGCTTCAGTTTGACTTGTATAGGATGCCTGAACTGGAGCATTTGAAAAGTGCTGTTGTCTTGGACACTTTGGCTATCAAGTTTCAAGCCAGAATATAAAGTAAAGATGGGCATTACTAGCATTACTTTTGCTCCAGCCTTGACATGATTGCTTTCAGGCACAAAGGTCTGAGTCTCTCTCAACATTTACTTTACAAGGAATACTGGGTTTAATATGGGGTTGGAAAAAGATCTATGTCTTCTAACTTTGGTCCTTTATTTTTCTCAATGCTGTTGTGATTTTTTTGTCAAGAAGAACAGTAAGAATGTTTTTTATCAAGCAGTATTCTCCAAACTGCAAGAATTACCCATCATGTGGACAGTTGTTTTATTTTTAGGCTTGCTTTTAGGAAAGCTACTTGGGATAAGAGAGGGGAAAAAAGAGACAAGACTGCCAACTGGGTATTTATGAATCAGCCCTAAATTGTGTGTATCATGATGGAGAGGTTTTCCATACACAATTTAGAGAAACTTATATTAACTATTTTAAAGTTAAACTGTGAGGTAGGCCCTGCTTTTCTTGTTTGTGAAAAGAAAGTAAGTTATGTAGCTAGAGAAAGATTGTTATGCTGTGTGGCATTCCTCACTGGAACAGAGAATTCTGAAATCAAAGTGTAGATGGTAAAAGCAGCAACAGTGCCAGGGAATTTGAACAAACAAATAACTAGGAGGTGGAAGAAATCATTAATGTCCAGGAAATAAGTGGCTGATAGAGATAAGAGGCTGATTAAAAGTTCAATTGCTTCAATTCAACACAAATGAAGTTTTTATGTTATTGGTTGGTATCGTGGGAAATTTAATTATTTGGCACCTGGATGAGGTTAAGAGATAAAAAATAAATGTATGCTGTATGTTTTCTCAAAGGGTTAATCTTAGACAAAGGGCATTACTTCTTTGCACAGAGCACGATGACTTTCTGAACAAGTATGTGAGTACAGACTGTGAGCAGGCTTTCCTTTGGCACAAAGGCCATGAGACTTGTTCCTGGTGGCATTTGGGCTGCTCTGATCCTTAAACCCAGTTTAAGGATATGATCTGTCTGTGAAGCTTTGTTTTAAAATTAATTACAAGGAAGTTAACTGGATATTTTAAGTGATTTTTCTGCTTGAGCTTTGCTGTTTAAATACTAGAGACAAGTCTGTTTATAATTACTGTAATGCATCATATATTTGTGGTTTCTAATTCCTTTGGTATTTAGTTGTGCTGATGTCTTCCATTATATTGTACTGGACTTTCCAGAAGGAAAGGTAAGAGTCAAATCTCTGCAACATATTAATTTCTTAATACATTGTGTACGGGGGAGGAAACCTGTCTAGTGGTTAAAGCTGGGCCCACTTATGTTAAAACACAAAGTAAAACCCAATTAAACCTTCTGGATTGGTTACTATGGTGTTCTCTAACAAGTGATGTGACTCAAAAGCCTGCCTTTGGATTGTCAGTACAAGCTTGAGTGCTCAGTACCTTCATTCCTGTTGGATGATGGTTTGCTATGTGAGTCATTAGGGTGATTTTTTAATTTTCAGATCTGAGTCCTCAGCAAATCAGTTTGGGTGGTACCAAGTTTGTTTATTTCTCTTGCTCAAGGAATGCAGTTTCTTTCAGGATGCTTTCTTATTTGAAGTGTTTTGTGCATGTGACTTCCACTTAGTACTTTGGAAGAATTCTGAATATTTGAATGTTTTATATCAGAAAACATAATGTTTTCTTGAAATGTTGTATTAACAGTTACAGCAAGTCTTCCTGGCTGTATTAGTATGAGAAGGAAAATTATTGCTACCACTTCTTAGGGTTTTCTGCTACCTCCCTGAATCCTGCCTTAAAGATGTGAAGAGAAGGCGTCTTACCCTGGTATGACCCTCAGATTTTTCAGGTAGACGGCGATGATGTTGCAACAAGAAGTCTGAGGGTACTCAAGAGACACTTCAAGGCCTTGGGATGACTGGTTAAGGGATCAGGAGCATAAGTAGTTTTCTCCTCTCTCCTTCCAGTTGTGGGGAATGATGAGGAAAGAAACAGGAAGAGCTGTCAGTTCAATACATGGCTCTGAGCCTGGTGTCACTGTCAGAATTCTGATTATTTTTTTTTTTAGTCATGGTTGGTTTATATGACACCAGACTTGCTGGCAATAGACCGGGTACACCTGTCTCAAAGGGGTCAAAGTATCTCTTTGCACAGGAGTTAGCAGGGCTCACTGAGAGAGCTTTATACTAGATTTGAAGGGGAAAAAGAATAAAACCAGGGGGCAGCATGCCAGTGTTTGAGGGATGGTGTGATAATAAGGTCCTTCAGTCTGCCATCTCAGTGGAGGTAGGGGATGGACGTCCATCCAGCTGAAAAGATGAAAGGGTCATTGATGTGTTAAAAACCACAAAATTGCCTGGTCACATAGGTTAGGACTTCTTGCCCCCCCCCCAAAGTGGTAGGATCAATAGCTCAACTTAAGTGCATCTACATCAGTGCATGTGGCATGGGGAACAAACAGGTCACAAGTGTTCTTCCCTAGGGCTCTGTACTGGGGCCAGTTTTGTTTAATGTCTTCAACAGTGACTGGGATGAGGGGATCAAGTGCACTCTCAGTCAGTTTGCAGATGACACCAAGTTGGGTGTTGATCTGCTGGAGGGTGGGAAGGCTCTGCAGAGGGATCTGGAGAGATGGGATCAAAGGCTGATGTCAGTGGTAGGAAATTCAACAAGGTGAAGTACCGGGTGCTGCACTTGGATCGCAACAACCCCATGCAGCATTGGAGGCTGGAGTAAGAGTGTCTGGAAAAGTGGCTGGAGGTTTCCTCCTGGACCTGGGGGTGCTCGTTGACAGCAGCTGGACATGAGCTGACTGTGCCCAAGTGGTCAAGGACAGTGACATTCTTGCCTGTATCAGAAATAGTGTGACCAGCAGGACTAGCCAAGTCGCCCTGTACTGAGCACTGGTGAGGCTGCACCTCAAATCCTGTGTTCTCACTTTTGAGCCCCTCACTACAAGAAAGACATTGTGCTGAAGCATGTCCAGAGAAGGGCAATAAAGCTGGTGAAGGGTATGGAGCACGAGTCTGATGAGGAGTGCCTGAAGGAGCTGGGGGTGTTAAACCTGAAGAGAAGGAGGCTCAGGGAAGACCTTATCACTATCTACAACTACCTGAAAATGAGGTCATAGCCAGGTGGGGTTGGTCTCTTCACCCATGTATAAAGCTGTAGGACAGGAGGAAACAGACCCGAGTTACATCAGGGAAGGTTTAGATTGGGTATTAGGAAAAAATTCTTCATTATAAGGGTTGTCAAGCATTGGAATGGTATGCTCAGGGAAGTGATGTAATCACTGTCTCTGGAGGTATTTAAAACACCCATACACATGGTGATTAGGCACATGGTTTAGCGGTGGATTTGGTGGTGCTAGGTTGATGATTGGATTCATCTTAGAGGTCTTTTCTAGCCTAAACAATTCTATGATTCTATGCTTTTACACTTGAATGTTGGGATTATGCTTGTAGCTTAGAATTGGGTTTTAGTGAATCACATCTTACGGTGTGCATTTAAATGTGTGTGTGTGTCTCACCATTACTGCTTTCCAGGTTTGTCCCCTGTCTGCCAGTGTTAAGTGACCAAATGTTTTATAAAGGAATGTGTTTGAAAGAATGCAAAAATATTCTCTGTGTTTTCAACTACTGAATGTTGCTTGGGGCTAGTGTTGAAATTTCTTCTAGTTCAAATGAAAGCCTATGTATTTGTAGAAGCCAATAAAATACATCAAATAAATTCCATTTAAACCTTGAAAATAATCTTATCAGCAAATTCCACTGCTTTGTTTTCCTGGTAGTCTTGTTAAGTAAGTGTTACGTAAATTTAATGTTGGGGTTAGTACTTGCCCCCAGCAGTCTTGACACATTTTTGCTGCAGATAATTCTGCTGAAAATTATTTTATTTTCTTAGGTTTGGTTTGATTTGATGTGGGCTAATGCATCTTGTAATGTATTATGTTTAAGTCCTTCACGGTAGTATAAATAATAGCTTATTGAAATTAACGTTGGTTTTCATTGTATTTTTAATGTTTTATTCTGGTACATATGTGTTCCTTAACTTTCCTGTCAGTCATGTTTATAACTACTGTACCAGTGTACACCAGTCTAATCAAGCACGGGGAGCTGGAGTGCCCCCTTCTAAATCAAAAAAGGGTCAGACACCTGGAGGTGCTCAGTTTGTTGGCTTGGAATTGTACAAACGACTAAAAGAATTTCTGAAGAACTACTTGACAAATCTCCTTAAGGTAAGATGGGACATGAGATTGATCCGTATTTGTATTAATATGGGCTGGGTAGAGAAGAGCTTGTATCAACAAACGTAGAGGTGTATGCAGCCACTGGAAGTAAATTGATCTTGAAATTTGCTTTTGTCTCCATTAGTGATTAGAATGTTTTGTGGGCTTTTCCTCAAGCATAGATCAGTGAATAAGTGTACCTGTGACCTGCTTTTCCTCTTCAAACCAAAGTAGTGTTCCTGTGTTTTATAGAAGTGATGCTAGGTGCCATCTTAAGCTGGCCTGTACTTCAACAAGAACAGCTAGATTGTGCAAGCAATTACTGAGCATATCAGTAATGTAGAAAAATGAGTACTGTAATGTTGAAAATGCCTGATGGCAGCCATTATTTTAATTTAATAAATACACTACTATTAGAGCTGCGTGTTGGCTTGCGTTGTAACAGAATGGTTCCCAGTTATTTTTTTAAAGGGACTATGCTTTTAACTGTTGGGATTTTAGTTATGAGCAATAGTAAAAGAATTCTTGGTATCCTTTCAAGTCTACTGTGTAATTCATTTATGAAGCTGCACAAATTCAGGTGTCTGGACCTCAGTCATCTGAATGCAGAATACATTCCAGAATGCACTCGTGGTTTTATTCCCTTGTCCATTCAAGCTGTAGTGGTCCAGTTTGAAAAGATACTTGAACTTTATAACTTTATCTTCTTTTTTCTGTTTTGTTTTGGGTTTTTTATGGGTTTGGTTTTGTTTGCTTTTTTGTTGTTGTTGTTGTTTGGGGTTTTTGTTTGTTTTGGTTTGGTTTTATTTATTTCTGTAACAAGAACAAATATTATGTCATACCCAGTTCCAAGAATATGGGGCTTCATTTACCACCTGACAGGGTCCTAGAGAAGACCCCATCCCCACTCGCTGGTTTCAGCTCCCCAAGGAGCAGCAGTGGGAGTGGGTGATACATATTATGAAGGTTGTCACATTGAATACATTACTATTGCACTGGCATGTTTTGCCCAGCACACGCATCAGTGTTGCATGATTCTAATGTGGTGCCCTCTTGCTCTTTCCCACAGGGGGGTCAAGGGTGTCTTTCTGGAGCTTTGTCTTTGCTGTGTATTTTTTTTCCCCAGCATTTTAATTTCAAAATCTCATACTGGATTTCTGTTTTATTAATGTAGAAGTAAGTCTGAGTCCTGTGTTTACTATAAATACTTTGTATGGTGTAGATTTATTACACAGTCTGTTTGTACACCCTCATATATCTTGGTTGTACCTTAAAATTACCCAACAATACTGGGAAACTGTTATTTCAGGATGGTGAAGATTTGATGGATGAGAGTGTGCTGAAATTCTACACTCAGCAGTGGGAAGATTACAGGTTTTCAAGCAAAGTATTGAATGGGATATGTGCCTACCTCAATCGACACTGGGTTCGTCGTGAGTGTGATGAAGGTCGTAAAGGAATATATGAAATTTATTCAGTAAGTAGCTTTTTGAAGTGAGTGATTTATCCCTTCCATCTGTCATTATCATCCTGCAGATTGCTCTTTGAATCTTGAAGGAAGTTCGTAGAAGACGTGGGCAAAGTGAAAATCTCCCCCCTTTCCAGTATATTGTCTACTTTTACCTCAATCTGTTTGTAAAAATTCCAAAACCTGTGAGATGTTCAATCTGTCTCATGTGTATTGGGGCTAGCAGTATTACTGTTGAGGGTTGTCTGTTTCTAAATATTTGCTGCTTATGCTGTTATCTGTGTGCACCAGAGTGTCCTTGTCATTCCACTTAGAATTCAGCCAAGCATTTCAAATACTGAATGAAGAAGTAAATTGCTGGGGTTTTTTTCTGGTGACTTCAATACATCTCTACAAATTTTTTAGCATCCAAGCTGCTAAAATTCAATCAACATTTGGTTTGTAGTGTAAGTTATTTTGGTACAGTTCTGAAAGATTGATATGTGATTCTGATAAATTTTTTGTACATAACTTAGTAAAAAATAAATAAGAACTCAGCAGAAGTTCTGTGTCTCAGATAACTTAAAAGTACTTTTTTTTTAAAAAAATAAAGGATAATTGTCCTTGCTGGTGAAGCACTAGGAAAGTGATGTGCTGTTTTACTGCTTCACTAAAATAACCTTGCATATGGTAGAAAAACAGTTGGTATTCTTAGTTCCCTCCCTCTTAACTTCATTAGCCTAATGCTAAGCAACTGTGTCAGCCTGAAACTTGCCTACCAAAAAAGTTGTATGTTGTCAAAGTAACTTGTGGGTTTTGTTAGTTTTCAGAGTTGGCAGTGGATCACTGCCAGAAAAGGGCACATCTTAGGTAGAGTTAGTAATAAAGAAAGTGGTAATTTTAGTATGAAACAGTCTTGTTGCATGAGAAATGTGTGTGCCAAAGTACAATAATTTTCAAAATTCTGGTTATTAAGTGTTCTATATCGGCTTTCCTTAAGGAGTTATCCTGCATATATGTGTGTATATGTAAATACTTTCTTTATTGCATCTTTAATCTCCCTTCCTTTGCTTCTAGCTTGCCTTGGTGACCTGGAGAGACTGCTTATTCAGGCCATTAAATAAGCAGGTATATATATAAATATATTATAACTATAGTGTTATTTTATAAGGTTAATTTTATGTATTGTTAGTAACTGCTTCAAGGAGAATTTGGAGGATGGGGGGCACAGAGCCAGAAAGGGAGCCTTTTGCTTCTCCTTTGTGATGTTAAAAAAGGTAAATATATGAGGGAATGGGACTTTCTCAGTGTGTGTGATTGAACCTTGAGACTGTTCTGTTCTAACTTTGCTGAGAGAGCATCCTTGGCCTTTTTTTTTAAAAAAAAAAAGCTAAGGGGACTCATCTTCACTGAAGTAGCCATTTCAGCTGTTTCTAAGCTAGGCAGGAGTAGAGAGAGGCTGACAGTCATGTCTTAAGGTTTGGGAATCAAGATTGTATGAAAACAGAAAGTGACAAGCTGAGGTTTTGATCTCTTCTAAATGTTACTATGAGCTGTTAAATTTACACTGATGCCTAGGAGATTCAGGTCAACCAAATATTTTAAATTAGTTAATCAGCATAAATATATAACAAGACACTGTCACAATTTTTATGTATGTTTCACTTATTTACCTATACTTCATGATGAAGTAGTTGCAGCAGATTATTTGTGTAAAGAACATGTGGTTCAGCTCTTGCTACAGAGTTTTCTTGTATTTCACGTATATAAAACTAACAGAAGTTTGGCTTAGAAAGTGCTTTTTGAAATAAATGTTTTAAAAAGGACTAAGGACTTTCATACCTGTACACAGCTCACTACTAAAAAGACTATAATTGTGTTGTGTAACTTAAAGGTGTAGTGTACTCTGTAGGAATTTTATATGTTCAGATCTCCTTAAATGTTCTCAAGGGGCTTGACTTGTCTTGAATATAGGAATACACTCTTGATTAAATACTGTGCTTGACCTGCTAGCTACTTTCTCTGTACCTGACTTACTTTTAATCTCTCTTTTCTAAGGTAACAAATGCAGTGTTGAAATTGATTGAAAAGGAGAGAAATGGTGAAACTATCAATACAAGGCTGATCAGTGGAGTTGTGCAATCCTATGGTAAATGAGATTTCTTTAAGGTTCTATTACTTACTAAAACAAATATATATATATATACACCTTATCAAATCCCAGAAGTAACATCCCACCTCCTTGGATGTCCAGGGAAGATTTTTTGTACAGTAACATAAATGCAGTTATGTACTGTTTAACTTCATATTTGTACTGACACTTGATACAGTTAGAGTTGGTTATACTGAATTTGTAAAGCTTCAAAGTGCAACTGATAACCAAGAGTGTTCCTTGCTTGCGAATCAGTTATTTAGGAGCTAAATCTGGAAGGGGGAAAGCATAGTAGTTTACAAAGTGGAGTGGGGTTGTTTTTTCCCATTTGTGTGATACTAAGAGTTTTGCCATCCAGATTATTGACCAGTTTCACTAATAAAAACAAAAGCATATAATCTGGAATTCTAAGAGGGAAAAACGGAAGTAGAATTTGAACTAGCTTTTGAGATAGTGAGGTTTTCCAAATCCTATAGTCTATTTAAGAAATTTATCCAAAAGTGCGTTTGCATGAGTAATGCCTTGTGCTGGTTACTTTATAAATGCAAGATCAATGTATGTTTTTAAAAGGGGTGCTGATATAGTTGCAATTGACTACCTTCATCTAAGTTAGAAGGAGTGTATTTGTTTGCTTGCAAGAGGCTACATCATAAAAAGCAATTTTGTCATTGCTTGGTCTTTTTTGTTTGTTTTCCTGTAGTGGAGCTGGGGCTGAATGAAGATGATGCATTTGCAAAAGGCCCTACACTAACTGTCTATAAAGAATCCTTTGAATCTCAGTTTCTTGCTGACACAGAGAGATTTTATACACGAGAAAGTACTGAATTCTTGCAACAGAACCCAGTCACAGAGTACATGAAGAAGGTAAGTTACTTAATCAGCTTTGGTTTATGGTTTTTTTCCGGATACAGGTGTTTTTAGAGGTAAAGTAATATAAATTTTAGACTTTAATCAGTTTCTTAAAATGCTGGTTCTTTTACTGAACAGTTAGTTCTTTTTCCCTGTAGTGATTTGCTTCGTGTTTGTCTGGTCTGAAGTTGGTCTCCTTAGTGCATTTCAGTAAGTACAGTGAAAGTTTGAAACTTTCTTAATGGACAAAACAGAAGAGAATGTTAAAATTAATTCAGATTTTGTTAGACTTCAATACACTGTAATTCTGCTTTAAAACTACAAGTTTAGTGTTCGTGTACAAGGGAACTGTGTGTTGACACATTTATTAAGGTCTCCTCCTGAGCAAACTGGCTGAGGAAATAGATCATTAATTAGCTTTAATTCTCTCTGAATGTTTTAATGTAATGAACCCTACTCAGTACTTCTCATCAACAGAGGCCAGATTTAAATTCTTAACTGGTCTCTGGTTTCGGGAATCCCAGACAGGGCAAGTAAGAGCAAGTAGGATAAACATTGACTATTTCTAGCCTGGTTATTGGGTCAGTCTTACTGCATGTGAAATAGATGGGTTATGTTCCATCTTGGACAAGTGCTGCCTTATATAAATTTCTCAGCACATTTCTTCACTTTCTGAATTGCTGCTTGTTTTTTCCCTTTCAGCTTAGTTAAAAAATGAGAGATTTTTGAGTATGTGATATGCAGGTACACATCCCTCCATGCAGTATCCTTTTTATAATGCTTTTTAGCACAGAGCACATCATCTCTGACTCTTGGCATTCAAATCAATGCACTATTCCCTCCCTCCCTCCCTTTCCCCCCTCCTACCAAAAAAAAAAAAAAGAAAAGGGGTGAGATGGTGGTGGAGGAAGTCCTAGAAATACACAGTAAAATGAATCCTGCCTTTAGTCTATTGGGGATGGTTGCCCAGTAATTACCAGACTTAACCCTGTTTACTTTTCTGTTGTCAAATTAATTATTTTTTGCTACTTCCCTTTCAGTTTCTTGTCTTTACTTTCATCCTAATATATGTATAAAAAGAGAGTAAGGGGATTTCAGTCATTCATAACCTGAATGTCTGGCTCATCCAGACTTCCTTGGGACAGGATAGTAAAAAGCTGTCTGAAGGTCATTGCTATTTCAAGAACTGGAGATTAGTGGCAAGTAGAAATAACTTGTTAGTACCCCAAACAATCCTCAAGGCTTCAAAAATCCATAAAAGAGCAACTCGCTTTGCTTGGAGCTGATGTTGAAGCTGAAAGCACATATAAAGCTATCTGAAGGCAGTGTTAAGTCTGGCCTTAAGTCTCTGCTGAAATTATTATACTAGAGTTTGTGTACAAGCTATTTGGGCAGTCTTGGCATTTACTTATAGTAGTTATAAGGTCTTATAAGTAATCTGTTGGAAGCATAAACTACAAATGGAGTAATCTGCTGATGGTACTCTTGACATTCTCACTAAGGCACTGTACATTGAATTCTGATTAGGGACAAATAGCATTGCAAAATTAAGAAACAACTGTTGGAGTACCTTAGTGCATACCAGCATAACATCAGTGTTACCATGTTATAGTAGAATTGTGGTCATTTCTTGTAGAATACTCAATGAAGTCTTAGGGTTAGGATTTATGTATGTAGTTATACAGGCAGACTTGCTGAGTTTAGAAGGACTGTGAATTTTTCTTCTCAGGCCAGAACTCATGAGT